TGGTCTGTTGAGTCTCGATTTCTGCTGTGGCATCAACTTTAAATGCCACAGCCTACCTGAATATCATTGCTGATCATGTCCACAGGGTATCCATATTCTGATGACTGCTTCCAACAAGATATGACTATGAAAGTGAGTTTACTGTACTCACATGACCTCCACAGTCACCGGGCCTCAATTCAATAGAGACATTTGGGATGTGGTTGAATGGGAGATGTCCAGCCAACAAATCTACAGCAAGTGTGTGATATTATCATGTCAATATGGACCAGAATCTCTGAGGAGTGTTTCCAGCAGCTTGTTATTCTTCTTATCGTTTTAAACAAATAACACTGGCTTGTGGCTCTTTATTCACTCTCTGTTTCCTATAACAGTTAATGACTTGCACAGCAGCCATATTTGCTCCATAAATAACGTGCACTGAAGTATGAGATGGTCAGAGTATGCAGTATGTCAGGGGCACTAATGTTTTCATTCCACGGAGGAATTTTTTGAGGACACACACACCAAAATAATAGCGGACAGCAGAGGACACGTCGTTTCACAGCTGTCTTGTTTAAATAAACATTCCTGGAATTGTCACAGGACATACGTGACAGGAAATCGCTGCGCTTACGTTCAGCGTGAGCTCCATATCACGGCCAGTCAATTGATCCATACAGTGTTTACACAAAAAACTTATGTCAATAAAATTTTAGAGCATCTGTCAAAACTCACAAGCAGAGATTTCAAGATGTTCAGTGTGTTATGAGACTTTACCTTTGAGTGATTTGAGCTGTGTCTTCCCATACGGGGCAGAAGAGAAGTTTCCACAGAAAATGAAGCAGGTGGGGGGCATGGCAGCATATCCTGCAATTTAGAAATGACATCAAAAATGTTACTGGTGTCACGCAAAAGTGTACTGTTGACTTGTAAAGTTCACTATCAGACCTGAGAACATGATGTTGAGCTTTTCCATCACTTCCACACTGTCCAGCCAGACATCGGAGACGATAACAAACATGGCGTCTTCATTCTCCTCTTCCAGCTGCTTCAACTTTGCGGACGTTTTCACTGAAGTGGCAGATGGACCTCCAAAAAAGTTAATGTTTCCGTAGTATGCTCTGGAAATAATATAACAATTACACTAAGGAATCAGAATCATTTTCTGGGGACCTCATATAATAGAGCCGTAGTTATCAAGGAATTCAAGTAAAACATGAAATAATACTGTGGACCCAAGCAGGACAGCCCAAATCCACAATTGCTCATCGTGTTCTCATAAGATGCTGTTTCTTAACAATCCTCTAATGATAACTGAATTAAAATTATACACTTTAAAAGTTTCCTAAAAAAACATTTTTAAGTCCTGCATTCTGACTACAATAAGGCTGGGGAACTAAGCCCTCCTGTAACATACTGTGACTGTATTCAGTCTTTATAGTCTGCTGTTGAGAAGTGTGATCTTGGCATGTCTGTGTAGCTTATAATGACGATGATCTCCGACTTAAAGAGTATTTGCCTTCATATTAATTCAGTGGCATTTTCACAAATTAACAAGGAAGACAAGTTAAACTGACTTCACTTCACTGGAAGCTCCTTAACTTTTAGTCTGAACATGATCTCACACACACAGAAACTCATACTTTATACTAGAATGTAATGTCAAAATGTATATTTTGTAGTACAACTACTCTTCCTCTGACCTTGTGGCTGATGAAGGCTCTGTTGGTGGGAACCCGAAACCATTGACGTGGAACACAGAGTCCTCGTACCAACCTAGAAAACAAACCGTGAGTTGCAAATTCACAAATAGGCTTGGATGTGTGTATAAAATCCATCCATCCATCCATTCGCTTCCGCTTATCCTTTTCAGGGTCGCGGGGAGCGCTGGAGCCTATCCCAGCTGTCATAGGGCGAGAGGCAGGGTACACCCTGGACAGGTATAAAATCCACATTTTGCCATTTTTACTAGAGTAATTATCTTACCTTCTGCCAGTACAAAGCAGGATTCTGTGTAGAGGCCATTATGAAACTGGTGAGAGTGGAGCTAAGGAATTTATCTTTTATATTCCATGTGATTTTGCATAATATGAAGGACTTTTATTAACATCAAAGGATATTGCTTTGGACAAGTCCAGCTGTATTGTTCCACTTGGGTCCTCCAGGTAAAATTTACCCTGAAAAGAATGGTTTTCAAATGTTAAATGAACCAGATTAAACAACAACAACAACAACAACAAAATCCTCAAACTGAACAGAAAGTCACAATTTTCATCGCATTCAGTGAAATGGAAAACAAAACAAAACATAATCTTTTATATTTATCTGGATCACTAACCTCTTTCAGTTGTGTGATCATACCAAGTACAATCACCTCTCCCAGTTTAGCTGTGCTACCAAGCAATGCTTCAACCGTCTTCAGCTAGGAAACACAAATAATGCTAAAAATGGTTAGTTAAATTTGTTTTGTTTTTTTTTAAATAGCTGACATGAGGTAATACACGTTTAACACAGTGTCCATTACAGTAGCTTAGATGTGATACCTGAAATTTGTTTTGACCCTCTTCAACAGCAGCTCCTATCGCTGGCGGGGTGAAGAGTTCATGGCGATGTGTTCGCTGCAGAAATGAATACGACATGCACACTATACATATTAAAAATGGCAGCAAAGACAGCAGGTCAGCCTGGAATCATGAGACAGATTTTACTGACTTGCTGAAGGATTGTATAGCGCTCCCTGAAGAGTTCAGCTTTTTCTCTGGCCAGGCCACACAGACTGGGGGCTGGATGACTGGTCATACTGATGCTGGATGGAAGTCAAAAGTCAAAATAAAAGCTTTACAATCTTTGCCAGACACACTGCGGTCTGCAAAACAGCAGAAACATTTATATTTAAACAATAATTTACATTAACTTTAAAACAAAAGAGAAAAAAAACAACCAAACAGTTGTTTTACTCACGGTACAAATTTCTTCCTCTCCACACTGTAAATGTATCTGGGCACATCAAAGGCTCCAATTATGTTGAAAACATTATCTCTGGAAGGGACGACTCATATAAGTAAACAAGTTAATCCCAACCTTACTCTACAAAGAACCTGCAACTGAATGATTTCTGTCCCAGCATTTAGTTTTTACCGGCATTCATTATATTAAAATGCTTTATGATCAATTAATTAAGCACACTGTGTCAGCTTCTACATGAGTAATAAGTCCAGTGGATATTTCATTTCAGTCGATGTACAAAGGACACCCCGAGTCCTTCCAAAAATATTAGAACAATGCTATTTTTTTAAACTTACATTGTTTCGTCACAAGTTTGAGTGCAATCCTGCACGGCACTTTCCACCACGGACAGCTCGATCATGCTAGAGGACACTGCGCGAAAAATCAGTACAGTCACAGTCTGAAAAAACTCACATGGGAGCACAAACATAGGAGCACACAACAAGCTGTACTGCACTCACATGGCTGTTTTTCCACTGCATCCAAAACCCTTTCAATAACATCATCAAGTTCAGAATGACTGACGGACTCCAGCACCTCTACAAGGTACCTGCTGGCCTCACTGGAGCGCAGAACAAGAAGAAGCCAATCAACAAATAAATAAACAAAGATAACAACTACATGACTAAACACGGTCCAACTACATCGAATTATATGTGCACATCCAATAAAAATGAAGTCTAACAAAAGTGTAAAAAGCTTTCTTTGTTCGTTTTTAAAAACATTTTTTCTGTATTTAATAAGGCAAAATACAGAAGGCTTGCACAGCGAGCTGCCTGTTCGTAACTTCAAGATGAAACAAAAGACGTCGTTGTGTTTTCGAAAGTTTTCAAAGCAGAAAAAAAAACATTTTTATCTACACAAGAATACATACGGGCGCAGTATAAGTCCTCTCATCTTGAAGCCAGAAGACACTTTCGTCTTTATTCTGCGTGCAACATCCATGATTATTTCTGCTCCGACTCAAGCTTTGGCGCTAAATGTCAACTTCCGCAAACTTCCGCAAGTGTCGTCACTTCCGTCTTAGGGGCCGCCTCTATTTCATTAAAAAAAAAGCGAACTTGAAAACAAATCTGCCGAATCATTTTCACAAAATTATGTTTTTTTTTACTGTGAATTTCTCTTTTAAGTCTATTCTAATTATCCATTATTGTGTTTTTTAATACAGGCTAAAGATGCATAAAACATCACCTAGCTTTTTAAGGATAAATTATTTATGAAGAACAAAAATAATAGCAATAATAACAGAAGTTATCAAAACGAAGCGCAAAAGGTGTTACATTGTTTATATTGTATATTTCTTAGCATGTTAATAGTGATTTGACAAAACAGAATACAATTACTCTATCACGTGTCACCTTATATTTTACTGCCATTTATAGACTGTGATAATTATATAAAACATAGTAGTTTTATTATTTGTCAGTAAGCTACCATAGTGAACCATACGTTAGTAATTGTTTATTGCCACAAATTAACTGTATCGATGACACAAACAATTCTGCTCCAAAACTGTAGATTTGTCTCATGGTATTTTTTGATTTCGAAATTGATTTTGGAAAATATTTTTTTTTTTGGCTTTATTTCAGTTTTTTAAAAAAAAATCCTTTTGAATATATTACTGACTATATAGTGTAATTAGTCATAAGTACTGGTTATTAGTGCTTATGAATGGATGGACAGAGAAACTGTCCATGTTGTACAAGCTGAACAACTGTGCCTTTCTGGGTCTTCTTTTGAAACAAACAAAACAAAAACAAAAATCTATACAAAAATAAATAAATAAATAAATAACAAGACAAAATGCTGTCCAAGAGTAAAATTCTTGGCTTAAAATCTCGAAATTTTGACTCAATAACTTCAAAATTCCGAGTTAGGTAATGTGGTACATCAAACATTTGAGATAGTCTTGTGTTATAACGTTGAAATTGTGAGATTAAAAAAAAAAAATAAAATAGAAATTTTATGCTGGAAGAGGTTCACCGGAAGTAGTATTTTATTTTGTAGCTGTGTTTACAGTATTTGGCACCGAGGCTTTCTTGTCCAAAATATGTAGGTTTAAAAACATGAAGAAATAATATCCGACAGCTAACAGCGCGTTGCGTCCCGTGAGTATGCACTAAGTATGGTTATTTAAACGTTAGTTTTTCAGTGTTTTTGTACTGTGGTTATGTATTAACCTGTTCCGAGCTTTTGTCGGTTGAATTAGTAGACTACCATTTTTTTCTTTTCGCATACCCAAATAATATTTAGCATAAACCGAAGACAGTAGGATGGTTCGAGTTTCTACTCACAGTTAGCTGTTGCCTTTGTTCTCGTAAATACATATAGTTGAGCATAGGTGAGACATTTAGACATTTTTTCCTTTTTTGTGTGATTTTTAGGTTCAAGTGCATGCCTTCACGTCTCTGTGTGTAAATATCAGTCAGTTATGGATTCTGCCTTTGAGAGGCACTGCTCGGAGCTGGTCGCCCGGGAACGAAGCGGACATACTGCTGTGTTGCATGACAATCTCCTGTATGTGTGGGGAGGCTATATGTTGAGAAAACACTGAAACATAAAAGACACAAATGACAAGGAAGAGAAGGGAAATTTCTCCAGTACTGTATTAAACATGTGATATTTAAATGGTGGCATTAACTGTATATGCCAATTTATACCTAATAAAATTAAAAATAAAAATACATTCATAAATAAATGAGGACTGCTGTGCATTATTATATGTAACAGGTTCTTGCTTTTTTTTTTTTTTTGCTTTCATTTCCCAAACCACATGATCTAACTCCACCGCCTGCACCTGTATTATAATGCTTCTTATATGTTAATAAGTCAGTAGTGATGAAACATCTATTAATATAAAATATTTTTTTTAGTTTCATTTAATTTCGTTTTGTTTTTCATTTCTGACTCAAACACCTGACATTTCACTGGAGACAGATGAAAATATAAAAATGAAATGAGACGTTATGCTAAAGTGCTTAATTTATTTAATTATTTTGTTCTTTCCAGTCTGTTGCTGAGGAAGAAGTTTTCTTACCTAATGATGAAATCTGGGTGTATGAACTAGACGCAGGTATTTGGTAAGAAGACTGAACAAATTCCTGCTTGCTTCTGTTTGCAAAACAAAAAATACCAATGCCTGTTAAGCCCTGACTTTCACTCTGTTTTTCAACTCGTGGAAATTGTGTTGGAGTCATATGACATTTCAGTTATGTTTGGACTTACAAGCACTCTCCTGGGGCTGTTTGACTTCTGAGTTGTGAGTTTTTCTGCATTTTTCTTTTCTTTTTCCATTTTTCTGAAGGAAGGTGTTTCACATGGATGGGGACGTCCCTCCCCCCATGTCTGGGACCTGCAGCTGCTACATGAATGGACACATGTACATATTTGGAGGTTGTGATGACAATGGACAGACCAATCAGGTTTGACTAATATCTGAGTGACTGTTAATGACACATGTTTTTTTTGTAAACATAGTTATGTTTACATTGTGTGAATGCTTAAGGTTTAGCAAGCACTCCCGATGCTTTCTTTCCTTATGTAAAATTTGCAGAGATAGTGTTTTAAAAATAATGTACATTTTATGTTTTTTGTGTCCATGATCAGTAGCTGGAAGTATTGATCGTCTAAAGATTACTCTGTAGTGCCTCTAGTGGTCAAAAACTCCACATAAACCTTATAATGTTGTGCGAAACAGAAGTATCTATGGGCATGAACTTAAGGTGGAAAGACCGGAAAGACGCTGAAAGAAAATGTTAAATGTTGATAAATAAATGCAGCAAAGAGATAAAGGAATGAAGATTTGATCAGTGTTTCTCATCCTACAGATGTACGGCGTCAACCTGGAAGATGGGAAATATACATGGAAGAGGATAATGCATGAGTTTGGCTCAGCCCCCTCTCCCTGAGACAAATTGTCCTGCTGGGTTTATAATGGACGGTGAGCACAGTGAAATTTTAATCAAGTTTAATTTTCAGCATTTTGCTACCACATAAATCACTACAGGGAATCAGTAGTTGTGAACTAAAATCTATTTTTAAGATTACTTGTCAAAAACTGGTACTAAAGAAATTTTGAGGACTAGATACTGAATTTTCCCCACATGACACTGGTTTGGAAAAGTGAAAGAAAATGGACAGATAAATAGATAAATTAGGTTTCCATGTCTTTTTCCTTTTTTAAATTGAATGCTGGGTGTTTGATCTTACTTTGATACATGAAGTGAAGAGGCTATCCATGTGTCTTTGTTTCCTGCACCAATTTCCGAGCAGATTTGGATGTCCACACAATCAACATTTTTTGTTAACAAGTTAATCTTGTAATCTTGGTTTTACTGTTTTTGGATTTGACGTTAAATCCAGGTTTTGTCAGGCTTTCAACATCTTTTTAGCATTCTTTATCTTAAAGTCATCATCCGAACAAAAACACAACCTGTGTTGAGTTTTGAAAACTATTCAGCGTTACGTCTGTTCTTGATTGGATGTATAATTTTATGTTAATTGGAAATTATTTTTTTGTGTGATATTTTTCCAGGCTCGCCTACTTTGGTGGTTATGGTCACAAACTACTGAGTGATCTCGACCGGAGGAGTGGAAGCTTTATTGTGGATGAAACTTCATGGGTAGGTTTTTTGTTACTCACTACAAGTCTGTTAGCTGTCTCTGTGAGATTTTTTTGAAGGTTTTTGTTAGAAAAGTTAGCTTCTTTACACCTGCTTAGCTCTTTTGTTATTGCCAGGTGGGAGATGTCTTTTGGGGATGGAACAATGAAGTTCACATATTTGACCCCATGCAGTCCAGCTGGAGTGAACCGCGGACCCACGTGAGTTAGTTTGAGATTAATTCATGCTGGTATTGACTGAAGTCAGGAATTTCATGTGTGGGATTTTTCCCCTGATGCTATAAAACTTTAATTAGTAACTTCACAAGTGGAAATATAAATAAAAGATAATTATTAAGACCTAAGGCTAGGCATGTTTGACTGTTGCTCTCAAAATGTTCCAAAATTGAGCACATGCAATCTTTATACAACACTTTGATGAGACAGTGTATAAGAAATGTGGAACATCTTTGACTGCAGCTCCTGCAGGGCATGCTTACACAGCTGAACAGAAACAGCTGATGCAATATTTCATCATCACCTATGCGTGTTGTTCTTATCCAGTGCAATCTGTAAGAAATGCTACCATGTACAGTGTGAAAAAGGGTTTGCCCTTTTGCTGTTTTTTTTGCATATTTGATTTACTTTCATATTACATGATCGTCATTACAGATCATCAAACAAATTGGAATTTCAGACAAAGATAACCAATGTAAACGCAAACGGCAGTTTTTAAATTATGATTTCATTTATTAAGGGAAAAAGGCTATCCAAACCTACCTGAAAAACAGAATTTTCCCCTTTTTAAAAAGGAGTTAACTGTGATAAACCGCAATCTGAGTTCAATTTCACTATCAAACCCCAAGACCTTTAGACCTGTTGGCTCAAGAAATCACTGAAATATAGTCTGTCTAACAAAGTGAAGTAGGCTAAAAGATCTCAAAAAGCTACAGAAACAACTGAAAAGTCAAATTATTGACATATGTCAGTCTCGAAAGGGTTGAAAAGCCATTTATAAGGCTTTGGGAATCCAGTGACCCACGATGAGAGCCATTATACACAAACGGAGAAAACTTGGAACAGTGGTGAACCTTCCCAGAAGTGGACAGCTGACCAAAGTTACTCTAGGAGCTCATTGATGACTCATCCAGGAGGTTAGAACAGAAGTCACAAAAACATCTAGAGATCTAGAGAGAGAGGCCAGCCTCACTAGCCTCAGTTAGGAGTTCATGATTCAACAATAAGAAAGAAACTGGGCAAAAACAGCATTCATGGGAGACCTCCAAGGAGAAACTTGATGAGCTCAAAGATGTTTGGTAAAATATTCTGTGAGACAAAAGTTTAACTTTTTGGAAGGTTTGAATTCCTTTACATCTGGCATAAAACTAACACAGCATTTCAATACAGAACAGTCAAAAATGGTGGTGGTAGTGTGATGGTCTGGGGACTGGGATGACTTACCGAAATTAATGGAGAGCAGATTGAGTAGAAAATGTCAGATCATCAGTTTTGTGCACCAAAGCTCAAGCATACTTGGGTTATGCAGCAGGGACAATGATCACATTAGAAAGTCTATCACTGAATGGCTAAAAAATAAGTAAATGAAACAAAATTAGGTAGTACATTTCTGTGTTCATAATGCTATCTATTTTGAAAACACCATTGGTTGAAATGCTCTTAGACACTCAATGTTGTACAGAAAAGGTAACTTTGACTTTCAGAAAGTCTGGAGAACTCATCAAGAACTTTAAAAACAATTCCAATGACATCTGGGTCCCTGGAAGCAAAAAAATAAAGAAATGTTGGAGTAGCCTGAGACTTTTGCACAGTACTATACACTGTTTTTGCTTGCAGGGCTGAGCTCCTGCTCCAAGGGCAGCCCATGGCAGTGCTGCGCTCGGTTGCAGAGGATACATTTGTGGAGGTAGAGTTATGGTAAGAGTCCCAGTTGGTTTTCGATGTAGTGTTTATGGATGCATGTTGTGTTGATCAGAGAAAGTTACTTGTGCTGTTTTTTAAATGCAGGAAACCAGGACAAATGACATCCATTGCTTAAACCTTGAATCATGGACATGGTCAGAAATGTATGTAGCCATGTGTCATTGCTATACTGTACCTTGTCATGTGGTGTATGCAGAACCTGAGCTCACAGTGAGTTTTTAAGTTAACATGCCAAATCGGTTTTCCAGAATCCCGTTGTCCCCAACTC